CTCCATTACAAAAGTCAAATATGTTCACTGTACAAATTAGAGAAAAAAAGAAAAAAATGAAGTCTTCCACTATCTTAAGTTACCTGAAGTAGAATTTAACTTTATGACTTAACCAGAAAGGAGACCATGGTTACTTAACTTCAGAAGCCAATATAAGTGCAAATATAACTACAAAAAAATAGGATTCTTTTTACTAAAGGACATAATACCAAAATAATCAAGAACTGAGTTTCCTGAAAATAGATACTCATCATTTCTCAATTGTTGGTGATGCACAAGATGAACAAAAATTATATTTATTTCTAATTTTCAAGTAGACTAGATTTCAATATCTGCCAAAATCCTTAATCAAAAAGGTTACTTGGTCATAAATAAATGGCTATTAGGATGGGACAGGATTAACGAAAGAGATAGGATGAATAAAAGAATCAAATTAAATAGTAGAATTTGAGAGCCAGAGAGCTCATGAATATCATTCTTTCTATACCATGAAGATGAGAGAGAAGAAGAGAGAGGGAGATTTCGAGGAACTGGCTCACATGAATGTAAGGCTAGAAACTAGAAACTTAGGCAGGATTTCTATATTACAACTGTTGAGGCAGGATACCTTTGCCAAGAAACTTCAGGTTTTTGCTCTTAAGGCAAGCATCAACTGATTGGACAAGGCCCACCCACGTTATTGAGGGTAATCAATAAGACAAATCCTATTGTATTCCAAATAACTGGGGGAAGCTGTGGAAGTCCTGAGAAGGCACATCACAGGGCCTGGAACATTACCTAGTTACATTTCAGACTTAATTTTTTGGGCAGAGGTTTGGCAAAGCCCTTCTTAGGAGGCAGAAAAGTAAAGGCAACTCCAAGCTTAGGGGAGTTCCTTTCATGCAAATGAGCCTAATTGAACAATAAAGGGCTCCTAATGATGCTGCCCACTTCCAACTCTTATCTAAGATGCATTTTTGTTTGGGATGATACTCAGAGTATTTCTCAATCAATACCACACCAGCCAATCAAATTAAGCAAGTCCTGGTTAGACAGGTGTTAAACTTCCCAAAGGTCCAGACTGGGCCCACTCAGCCATGAAGCACAGGAAAAGCCCAATAATGCCTAGAGCCCACATTACAATAATGTTTTCATTTATTTTAGAATCTTAAAAAATAAAAATAACAACAATGTAACTATACTTTTACCACTAAATTGTACACTGAAAAAGGGTTAAAATAGCACCTTTTACATCATGTGTATTTTACCACAATGAAAAAGTGCAGATACCATTTTGAAAAGCTAGCTATATTAAATGATGGAAACTCCTAGCTAAACCAGGAAATGATGGTGATAATATAACATCCAAAACTATCTCAAGGCAGATACTTTTGGCACCTAATATGCAGAAATTTTTGCTTAAAATAGAATATAGAGGACAAAAAGTACTTCCCAGAAAAAAAAAATGAATATCATATGCTTTAGTTTTGTATAATAACACTTATTCATTTATTGACAATAATTTCAAGAATATTAACAATAACAAAGTTGGCTAGCTTCTAAATATGGGTGTTAGAAATCAAACTACCAGACAGCAGGAAGGAAGGATGGGGCCAAAGACTTGTCCCCTGTCCTAAAGGCTCACATAACCTACATACAGCCAGCCATGGACTAGTCTAGTCCTTCAACCTACCTTCTCTGAATCTTTTCCTCTCTTTTGGTTTTTTGGGAAAAGGATGGGGAAGCTTTAAAAAGACTTATACACTCAGAGAACACACCCCTATCTTTCACTGAAATTGGGTGAGCCATAATAAGACCCAGTGTAAGAAGTGGAATTCTGAAGATATAGTTTGTAATTCTCATTCATTTCTCTCCTTGGAAATAATTCCATAACTTTCTCATACTCTGTATTTCCTTACTTATGTCTAGAGCTCTGGTATAATTAGTTGCATATTCTTTAAGCTTCCCACAATGCTGTCCCACTTTATGCAAATATGCATTTATGAAAATGTAAGAGCCCATCATATAAAAATTGATAAAAGTCTCAATTCATGCACAAAATTTGAAGTAGTATGAATCCAAATATTTTAATATTGTATAATTGCAAAAGTGGTAGCCTGAGTGAGTGGTGAACTATTTATGCTAAGGCCATATGATAAAATTCCTAGCAAGTAAAAAATTACCTGCATGTAAAAATATGTTAATATTTTATGAAGTATACTAGAGGCCCGGTGCACAGATTCATACACTGGCAGAGTCCCTTGGCTTGGTCTGTGCCCTCTCACAATCCAGGGCTCCTCGGAGCATGTCGGAGAGGCCAGGAAGGGGGATCCCACTGGTGCACATATCCGTATACCGGGCCTCTTGTATGTATATAAGATCTATGGTTAATCTCTTCCCTCCCTATTCCCCCCTTCCCTCTGAGATTCATCAATCTGTTCCATGTTTCCATGCCTGTGGTTTCCACTCCTGCGTTAAGTGTCTGCCCCCTGGTGGTCAGTGTGCATCATAGCTAACAGCAGATCAGTCAGCCAGTCACTTAGGCTTTTATATATATAGATACTTGTTTAAATGCAAGATAACTTCAGTCACTATGCTGCTGTTATTTAGTCATCCACTTAAAATTTAAGATATTTTTGTATCCTATAAGAATGTAATGCAACCATTCATTTAAATAGGAGTGCTAAAAACCAGTGCTAAAAAAAAAGTCTCAAAGTCAATTACTTTGGCTTAGAAGTGAATGAACAAAACTCTAACTAAAGCCAAACACCTGCCATGGCATGTTGTGCTATTAATGTGGAAATCAGCAATGGAGAAATATTAGAAATAATGCTTGAAAATTAAAACCATAAATATGTAACAAAATGGCTAAAGACTTATGCGCTCAGAGAATACACCCCTATATTTTTGCCTATGGAAAATTCATCCTTTAAGCTTTGTGAGTTTTTAAGTATGTCTTCAACTTCATTTTGTTTAGAGATGGTACCAAATTCCATGTATATAAGGAAATAGGCCTGAATTGCATTTTTTAAGTGACATATTTGTTTCCGTATGTGTTTTCTGATTATAAAAATCAGGATAAAAAGTGTAGAGATGAAGAAAATAACCAACTTTAGTAGCATTTTGACAGTTTCTTCATTTTTTCCTCTATGTTTTACATAGTTTAGATAAATACATGTTCAATTTTGCATCTTAATGTTTTTCTTAACCTTAAATGAAGACTTATCAAGACACTAGAGTTATCTATGCATGTTATAAAGGCTACAATAACTTCATCATATGATTATAGCATATTTAATTAATATTATTTCTAATACTAAAACATTAAGCATTTTCCAAGTTTAGCCATTATAAGTAATACAGTGATTAGTATCTCTGCATTTTAACTTATTTTCCTTTGGGGAAATTTCTTAGAAGGAAAATTATTAGATCAAATATCAATAGTATCTTGATATCTACTGCCAAATTCCTTTCCAGAAAGATTAAAATAATTTACAATTTACCTGGCAACAGATAAAATAACCCATCTTGTCCTGGCAGGGTGGCTCAGTTGGTTGGAGTATCATCTCATATGCCAAAAAGGTTGTGGGTTTGATTCCCAGTCAGGGCACATATCTATATAAGTTGCGTGTTTGATCCCTGGTTGGGATGCATACTCGAGGCAGTTGATCAATCAGTTCCTCTCTCCCTCCTTCTTTCTCTAAAATCCATTAAAAAATATATCCTTAGGTGAGGATTTAAAAAAAAAAAAATCTCACCCCATCTTCACCCCACTGTGTATTAAATGTATAAAATTAATTTTAATTAATTTAGTTCTCCAGTCCTCTAAAATGGCAGTTATTCCCTTTTATTTGAGATTTCTGTTTATCTCTGAGTATATATTTTTAAAAATTCATGGCTGGAATCTCTCATTGGTTGCAGTCGGATGGCAGCTGGAGTGGGAGTCCAGGCTCAGGTCGGCTGAATGTCCTAAGTCAAGCTCTGTAGTGTTTCTCCTCATGGCCTCCCCTTCTAGCCCAGGAGCTTGGATTTCTCATGAGGTAGCTCAGGGCTCCAAAGGACCTGGAAGCAGTCTTTTATAAGCTAGGTTGACATCTGGCACAGTCACTTTTGCCATGTTCTATTGATCAAATCAAAAGCCCGATAGTCCAGATTCAAAAGGCAGATACATTCACCTCTTGCTGGGAAAGTAGCCAGTGCAAATAGAAGGCCAGCCATCTTTAGAGACAATCTACCACATCTTATTGATCTTTACTAATATGAACATTTCCTGATGAAAGTGTTTTAAATTTGTGTTGCTATAGTAATTTGTATGCTTTCTCTTTTAGATTTTACTAACCAGTTAGTGCTGATGTAAAGGAAAGATACTGTTTTTCATATGCTTATTTTGTATTTACTCACTTACTAAATGGCCTTATTTATTTTAATTCTCAGTTTAATATCTTGGTTTTCCTAAGAAGATAATCATACTATCTTAAAATAAAGATAAAAATTTTCTCCTCTTTTTCAATAATCAAATACCTTATCTATTACACTTGTTAAGTCTTCCAGAGAAGCCTAATAAGATGCAGCCTTGTTCTGTTTCTGTTGTATAATTTTTAAGTACAAGTATATTAAAGTTATAAATTGGACATATATTATCAACGTACACATTTCTCAGAGCTAAATTAAGCCATTTAATTTTATGTGTCAATGCAATACAAATGAATAGAAAGGCAGGTTCTTATTACAGATAAATTAAATTTAGAGACAGGGACAATAAAACAAGATGAAGAAGAAAGCAATATGTTTTGGACACTACGATATTTTCTCCCTGAAATCTATAAACATCTAAAAATAAATCATAACAATAAAACATTCTATTGTCTCCCTCAGAAAATATCTTTAAATAAATATAAAGCATCATAAATCTCAGCAATTGTCCTCTCTTCCCAAGCTTGACTATTTTCACTAGATGTACGAACCATTTTATGTACATAAACAAGTATTAGAATGTGGCTTCACAGCCCTCTTATACTCACAAGTGGCTGATAATCATATGGTCGAGTGTAGTTTTCAGCATATGTTGTCAATGCACACCTAAGAGGGATAAGTCAATATCTGAGAAAAGAAAGACTTCAAAAACAAACACATTTAGATGTTTTAGAGGTGAATACTTTACATAAAATAAAGCCATTTCAAGAAGGATTGGCCCCAATAAAAATTTTAAAACTCTCAACTGTCTCAGCCTTGTTTACAGTGTTACCTATCACCAGCAAGAGGCCCTTCCTTCATCACTTCCAATTCAGCACCATCCACTCACTACTCTCCTGTGCTGATGATATGCTGCCAATCCCAAGGATTTTAAATTATTACCTGAGACTGGGTGCATTTGGACTTTTGGGACTCTCTTTACCACCCATTTTCTGCCCCTCAACCCTTTCTGATCCTATGCCCTATGTTCTCTGCTAGATGACAACTGAAAAGATAATAGAAGACAGCTACAAGGACTGAGATTACATAGCTTCTCCAACTTCTCCCCATTAAACACTCAGAAATGCACATGAAATACACCCTCCCTCCCCAAGTGTACAAGCACAGCCAGGCTCAAAAGGGAATACCGTATTTTTCGGACCATAAGACGCACTGGACCATAAGATGCACCAGTTTTTAGAGAAGGGAAATGAAGAAAAAAAGATTCTGAAACAAATAGTGTCCTATAATATTTTATGTGCATTAAAACCCAACATCACAGTCATAAACACATGTAATCAACCCTGTAAAGTAAACAGCAGCATTTAGAACCATTTTAGAGCCGGGCAAGCACACAGAGACCACACAGAGCCGGGCAAGTAAAAAAACTTTTTTTTAAAAGTATATGTGTAGGCTATATTTTGACCATAAGACACAGGGACTTTTCCCCCCCACTTCTGGGGGGGAAAAAGTGCGTCTTATGGTCCGAAAAATACGGTACTTGAAATGTTGGGAATGAAGAACATACTCATTAGAATGGGAAGCCATAAGCGGATGTCAAAGATAGAGCTGGAGTTTGAACTGCATGTCAAAGAGCAGAAGACATGGTCTTGGGGGTTTCACAGAAGGCAAATTGCTAAACTCTTATTCACAGCCAGGAGTCTGTAAAGGCGGTACCTCCATATAATAGAGACCAAAAAACTACAGTAACCAGTGCAGGGAAACTTGCCAGAAAGTTTCTTTGTGTTTGAAACTGAGGGTGGGGGTTGGGGGGAAATTATTTTCCAATGAGAAATTAAAGCCCTAATTCTCTGTTCTGATAATATTATGCAATGAGATGGTCAAAGAAACTCAACTGGTAATTGCACATCTAAAAATATTGGGTACAGGGAAATTAAAACATTTCAATGCATGGCTGAGCTGGTGGGAAAGTTAGATAGTTCAACAAATAAAGAATTCCAGACTTGGCGGGGTTGGCTCAGTGGATAGAGCATCAGCCCACAAGCGGAAGTGTCTCAGGTTCAATTTCAGTCAAGGGCATGTACTTCAGTTGCAGGCTGGATCCCTAACCCTGATCAGGGCCCTTGCGGGAGGCAATCAATCAATGTGTTTCTCTCACATCAGTGTTTCTCTTCTTCTGTCTCCCCCCCTCCCTTCCTCTCTCTCTAAAATTCAATGGAAAAATATCCTCAGGTGAGGAATCTATAATAATAAAAGCATAATATGCTAATTAGGCCAGATGTCCTTCCAGACGACCTTCCAGATGAAGCTGGGGCTGCAAGGGAAGCCTGGGTCCCAGGTGCCCGATGGAAGCCGGTGCTGGCAGCTGGGGGAAGGAAGGCCCACTCTTGCACAAATTTCCTGCATCAGGACTCTAGTAAATAAATAAATAAATTAGAATTCCAAAACAATAAAAAAGTCTAACTCAGAACAATTAATGGATATAGCACCAATTTTATCTGGTGATAATCACTAATTCCTGACAAGAAGTGGTTTCCAGAGTAGTAGCTTGTTAAAGAAATGCAAATCCTGTCATGTGCCGCATAATGGCATTTCAGTCAATGATGGACCAAATATACAACAGAAGTTCCATAACATTAAAATGGAGCTGAAAAACTCCTATTGCCTCGTGGTGTTGTAGTCATCATTACATTGCAGTGCAACACATTACTCATGGGTGTGTGGTGATGCTGATGTGAACAAACCTACTGAACTGCTCATGTAGAGAAGTATAGTACATACAATTATGTATAGTACATAATATTTGAGGATGATAATAAATGACTATGTTACTTGTTTGTGTATTTACTATGCTGTACATTTTATTGCTATTTTAAAGGGCATTCTTTCTGCTAGAATAAAATGTTTTCTGTGAAGTAATATGCCGTGTTAACTCAGTCAGCAGACTTACACACCTCGTGACTGCATCATTTTCTTTTGTGCTTGATTTAATCTCATGTGATTTTGTACAGGAACAGGCTTGCAGCCCAGGAGCAATAATAGGCTATACCATATAACGTAAGTGTGCAGTGGGCTACAACATCTAGGTTTAAGTAAGTACATTCCACCATCTTTGCACAACAATGGCATCGCCTAATGCATTTCTCAGAGGGTGTCTTTGTTGTTAAGCAGTGTGTGACTGTACCTCAGTCCCACTTGAGATCTACTGAATTAGAAAGTCTGAGGGTGGGCCCAGCAATATGTGTTTAACAGGCCCTCTAGGTGATTTTGATGCACATTAAAGTTTGAGTACTGGAAACTAAGAGAACAAAAATTAGAAGTGTAACTTTCAAACTGGAAAATAGGACTTTTTTCCCCCCCAAAGAGACCAATCTAATACAAAACAATAAATGTGAATAACAGAAAGGAAAGTTAAATTGTGCTCAACAGACAAATTAAAATCATAAAATTAAATATCTTTGCAATCACAATGAAAGTAAAGGGGTTAAACCCACCAGGGATAGTATTTTCTCAGACTTAAATTGAATACCAAATTGTGTTACACAGTCTGATTCTATGCTTTTATACCTAGAATTATTTTCAAAAGAAGTTTGAAAGCAAAAGAAAATAAAAAGATATTTCATACAAATATTAACTAAAACAATTATAAAGATTCACTAATTATTACCTATTGATTAAAGAAATGAGTCACCAAGAACATATGACATACTCAACAACACATGAAATATGTAAAGCAAAAAATGACAGAATCACAAAGATAAAATGACAATTCCACAGGCATAGAGGAGGACTGTAAAACGTTCCTAGATCCTTCAGTTCCTTAAATCCAAATTCATACATAAATCTTCCAAAACTATACATATCATCAGCAAAGCAAATAAAATCACACGATTTTCCATGCATGCAGCATAACAGAGGCCAGAAAAGACTACAAACTTCAGTTTACATGTAGTGAGGGGAACAATCCAGAATTGGCAGAGTTAGATCCAAGCCCAAGCTGGAGCAAAATCGGGTGAGGATTGCATAGAAGAAAGGAGAGAGTGGGAACTCCCCAGTGGGGATGGAACACAGAGAACATGGACCCAGAAATACAGCATCCTTCTCTGATGGGGAAAAACTGAGACCAAGTCTCAAACTAGAGGATTTGAACATTGGCTTTTAAGAAGGAGGCTTGGAAAGTATGCAAGACCACAATGGCAGCCTTGGTATGCAATGATTCCAAGGAAGCAGGGGTGAGGACAACTGGCAAAATAAAGATAGGAAATCAAGCCCAGAAATTAAGGGTCCTAGAACCACCGCTCCTCAAAAATAAATAAATAAATAAATAAATAAATAAATAAATAAATAAATAAAAAATAAAATAAATAAAATAAAATAAAATAAAATAAAATAAATAAAATAAATAAAATAAAATAAATGCCATTAATGAAATAAAGTTCACTTCACTGTTCTAACAGAAGAGGGCACTCTTGAACTAAAACATTGAAGAAATGGTCCAAATTTCTCATTTCCCCCCTCAATAGAATTTGCCTGATTATTGCTAAGCCAGGAAAATTAAACATAATTAAAATGTTAAAAAAAAAAAAAGCAACATTACTAAGAGAAGAAATCAGTAAATAAGAATAAAAACTAAGCTGATGAAACTCCTCCCCAGCAACATTCCTGGTCATAGAAGTCCTCTGTCAGCTTTTCTATTCAACAATACAACAGACATTCTAGCAAAGGCAGTAAAACAAAACAAAAAAGGAGCATAAACATAATAATTGGAATGGAAGAAACAAAATTTTCATTGTCCACAGATAATAAAATTGTCCACATCTAAAAATCTAAGAGAATCTTTGAATCATAATATCAGGCAAGTTTCAGGATGGTTGTTGGATATAAGATCAATACACAAAAATAGTATACTCATATATCAGCAATAAGAAATTAGAAAGCATGACTAAGTGGAAAAATCCCATTTATAATTGCAATAACATCTCTAAAATTCCTATAGAAATATAAGTAATAAGATTTCTAAGATATTTATGGAAAAATACAAAATTTATTGAAGGACATAAAATAACTCCCTTGTTTATGACTCAATCAATATATGTTACATATGTGTATATATGTATATACACTTTATATGTAATTTCTAAAATGTTTACAGTCTGATATATATAGAGAGAGATTTTGATTAAATTATAATTTAAAACTTCTATTGATCAAAAGACAGCATGAACAGTTAGAAGAGAAGCTATAGAATAGAAGATGTCATAAAATTAATCAAAACAAGATTAGTACCCAGAATAAAACATTCTTACATATCAATGAAATACAGAATCCCATAGAAAAATGGACAAAGCCTATTAACAGTCAATTCACAGTAAAAGAAACCAAATGGCTAGTAAATATTTTAAGATAAATTCAGTGATTAGTGAAATGCCAAGTAAAACAACACATAAGATTGGTAAAAATTAAAATTATTTTTAAAGATATGAATGTATACATTTATACACTACTGGGGGAAGTACCTTGCTAAATTGAAGATGCATATATCTTAATACCCAGAAATTCTGTTTCTGAGTATAAAGAAATCCTTGCATATATACTCGAGGAGACATGTATAAGGATAGTCAATGCAACCTCATGTGTAATGATGAGAATCTGGAAAATAATGTTCA